GTCTGCTGGGATAGGCGGAGAGAGAAGGAGAGAGAGAGAGAGAGAGAGAGAAGGAGGAGGAGGCCTCGGCGAGCCTGAGCTGCTGCCAGTGCTTCCCTTCGTCTCAGTTCCAGCTAGGCCTCCGCGAGAGTCAGATGCCCGTGGTGCGAGTCTCCTACCCCTTCCCCGCCCCTTGGGTAGTGGGTGCCTCGTTCGGACGCATCGGATGCTCACTGCCCGGTACCACGTGCCACATGCTTAATACTCTTCTCGTGGATGGGCCCACTTGTCGTGATGAGTAAGGAGAGGCGCCTGCGTGATCGCTGCCTCCGCGAACGTGATGGGGTGTTTCTCAGTGATCCCGGTTTTGTCGTGCCAGGCCACGGGGACTGTGACGATGACGTGAGTGGGAATGGAGAGGAGCAGGAAGTCGCGATGGGCGAGGGCGAGAAGGACGTAGAGACGGAAGGAATGCCGAAGAGTCCCGGAACCGAATCGGGATCGGCCACGTGCTCGGCGACCGAGCACGTCCCGCCGCCACCGGCATCCCCATCCTCGAAGGGCGAGAGCATCACCATCAAGTGCGAGCCCTGGAGCCCCGGGGAGACGCGGAACTCCAGTTCCGCCTCCCCCCCCCTCCACGAGAGCGAGAACGAGGAGGACTCCAATGGGAGGAAGTTCCTCCCGCCGCCGTTTCGATCCCCCGGTTCCTCCGGGGAAAGTGAGTGACTCCTGCCGTTTCCTCCGTGACTCCTGCCGTTTCCTTGTGCCCCGTCTTTCCGACTCGAACCTCGGTGCACGCGGTCGCGAAGTGACGTGTCGTCGGCGCCACTCGATCGACGAAGCAGAACGGATCGACACGGGACGATCGTGTCGTGACCTTTATCGACACGATAAAAAGCCCTTTTCGTGCGTGAATCACTTTGCTGTCACGAACGAATCGGACTGTGACAACGCCCCTTTTCCTCCTCGAGGATTACGAACGTATATCATTTTACTTCATCCTGGTTTTGGCGTGCCAGCGACAAGAGCAAGGTCACTATCAGATAGTTCGTAATCGTGCCAGCCTTCTCCGGGGCCAGGTGGCTCATAAAACGACCTTCGGGCGCGACAGACTCGCGATAATGTTTTTTGCTCACCGCGAGCTTTAAATTCCCCTGCCGAACGGGTTTTTCCCACTCGGCTCCGCGAATCGCGTGACGCGATAAGGTTGTTGCTGTTTTCCCACACCGGCCGCGATTGCACGAGGCTTCACGCGTTAAGTTCCAGCCTCGTTGCGATGGGCCCGCCGTTTTTATTTTGGCACCATCCGAAAGATATCGGAAAGGATCGTATCGAAGTGGACCTCCAAAAACATCTGGCACTCGATAAATCATTTACATCTCCATTAAGGAAGAATATGTGTCATAGGCACCGTATAATTTAAGCGTTAAAGGGCGGGGGAAAAGTACAGAATGATAATTTTGATACCTAATTTCCCCTTTAACCGAGTGGAGCAATTGGCAGATTCATTCACTATGCCTTAACTCTGCACCGCATTTTCAACCAAGTCTAGGGGTGGATTTTCGAACAGAGAACTATCCGATAATGCTGCTTTATTTCCGGTATGAAGCAGCATCACCGGACGGTTCTCTGTTCGGAAATCCACCCTAGACCAATTTTTTAAAGAAGTTTTCTCAAATGAAATCTTTTCCCTGGGAAAATCGGCCTTATGACTTCACTAAAAAAAAAAAAAATTATCTACGAAATAAATCCTTAAGATCTATGATGATTTGGTCGTTCGGCCAGGTTTGAGGATGGTTAGTGCTTGCAGCGGCACCCTGCCCATTCCTGTTAATGATGTTGCATGAATTTGCTCCTAGGTCCGGGAGAGGTCATGTACTTGCCGCTCCGGTTCCCTTCCGTAGGTGCTGTTTTCCCTGTTCTAAAACGCGGTAAGTGGTTAGAGAGGGATCAATCCGGATTCACATTTCCTTCGAGTTCCCCCCGTCGAGGGAAGATTTCTCTCTCTCTCGTGTGGCCCTCGAGGGCCACCGTAAGCCGTATCGGGCTCAAAGGGGTCAAGGAGAGAGAGAGGCAGCTGCCCTTTCGCTCGAAAGTTGCTCCGATAAAAGTAGTGAGATCCTAATTGGTCTCTGATTGCTTCTGTTCTCGTCGAGTCCACTTCCGCTCCAATAAGAGAAAAAGCACTCCCCCGCACGCACATTTTCGAGGTCAGCGAGTCCGACCGGACCGGCGATCGCTCATCGAGTCCCGTCCTCTTTCTTCCAGGTTACGAGTGCGTCCCGTGCGGCATTCGCTTCAGCAGTCCCGGAACGTTACAGGCTCATCAGACGTATTACTGCTCTGCCAGGAGATCGAAAGGTGAGGGAGAGGGAGGACTGCTTTGGTTTTAAGTCCGTGGAATCGTCGAGCGATTTCATCGACACCGTGATTTGAAATTGATATACATTACCCTTGAATAAGGGTGGGCAGTAACGCGTTATTGTATTCATTTTTTGGTTAAGTTTGCAGTCGAGTTTGTTCAGTCATTGCCACTGGCAATGGTGGCAACTCAACAATTGAGGACAAAAAAAAATCTTGTCTGGTCCGTCCATTTTTTCCATTCTCGCGTCTGCATTAGGGTATAGTAGTGATAGAGAGCATGTCATTGAGACGAAAAAGGAACTAGTAACGATAACTTGTTCCTTTTCTGGCAAGTAGCTGAAACTGTTGATAGTTCCTTTTGAAATATAACGAGCCCATCCCTACCATTGAACTCTATTCAGGAAATAAACAAGAAGCAGGGGTGGGGATGGGATTAATTGACGTTCGCGAGTTCAGACGAATTTTCGCACGATTTTTCGTTATTGCCATCTCGGGAGTCGGAAAATGAATGGGGATGAAATATGGAAATGTCCTACTTCAGATCCAGTGGCGGTGAGCGACGACGAGAAGTCGGGGGGGGAGTGCCGAAGCCCCTCGTCGCCGAATTCGGCGCGGACGACGCCGGGGTCCCGCGACGCTCCGCCGGCGGGGGACGAGGAGACCGGGCCGAATCCCCCGAAGCTCCCGCGGACGGGGAAGCTCTTCTCCTGCTCGCAATGCTCGTACAGTGCGGACCGGAAAGTGAGCCTGAACAGACACATGAGGATGCACACGGTGCACCTGTCGGATGGGGAGTCCAACAGGAATTCCCCCGCGCCGGACAAGTACTGCGAGGATTGTGGGATCCAGTTCTCGTCGGCGAAAACTTATCGCGCTCATCGTCAGCTGTACTGTCAATCTCGGAGGAGTCTGGGACCGGATTCTAGTCAAGAGAGACCTAATCTATTGTCTTCGTTTGGTCCGGCTCAGGTGGAATTCTTCAAGCAGACCTACGTGGCTCTGCCGACGTCTCCCATGCTTTGTATTCCGTACCCGATCCTTCAGAACGCACGACTCATCCCTCAGGCACTTCTGCCCCCGAACGCGTGCATCGTAGCCAACGATGGGACCATGAGGATCCCGACGCCTTCCCCCCAGATCGTTCCCGTGCCTGCGCCACCGTTGCAAGGCATGGAGAGGAGACGAAAGCGTCAGAGGTCGGAGAAGTCAGAACCGCCCGCCCCGCCGATATCCCCGGCGGATTCGGGGAAGGACGCCCCCCTGGACCTGAGCAAGAACCCTTCACCGGGGGAGACTTCCAACGGAGTGGCGAAGAAGTCCCCGAAGGAGAGGGGGAAGGCGTCGCTGTCCCCGAGGGATCGCCACGGGGACGGAGAGAGCACCGAGGAGGAGGAGGGGAGCGAGACGTCCAAGTCGTCGCGGGGTGCGACGGGGTCGGCGTCTCGGGAGCCCAGTGTCACTCCGGAGGACAGGAAATCCCCGCCGGGGGAGCGCGGGGGGAAAGACAGGGAGGGAGACAAGGGGGCCTCTCCTCGCCTCTTGGCTCATCCTGGCTTCCTTCCCTTCGCGTGGAATCCGGAGTTTGCGGCCAGGTTCTTGTGTCAGGAAGCCCTGAACGGCCTGCCCTCGGCCGCGAATCCCCCGTTCCTGGTCAAGCAAGGTGTCTCCAAATGCAAGGAGTGCAACATCGTCTTCTACAAGCACGAAAACTACGTGGTCCACAAGAAGCATTACTGCGCCTCCCGGCGATCCCCCAACGAGGAGGCGGAGAAAGAACCCCCGCCGGCGAAGAAAGAGAAGGAGACTCCGACGGAAAGAGAGAAAGAAGCGGCGGACAACAAGAGCGACTCCAGCGAATCCGAGTCCTCCGCCTCGGCCCTGCTCTTCCAGTTCATCTGCACGGCGTGCAGCACCAAGTTCACGTCCCCGGACACGCTGAGCGCCCATCAGCAGTTCTACTGCTCGAAGCGACGGACGGGTCGGGAACGGGAAGGCCTGTGGGAATGCGGCGAGTGCTCCGCCGTCCTCCCGTCCCTCCTGAAGGGGCAGCACGAATGCGTCCTCCCTTCCCCGGCGGGCACGGCCGCGTGGCAGTGTCCGTGCTGCGACTTCGTCGCGTCTTCGGTCACGATCGCGCAGAGACACCTGGACCAGCATTCCGGGCTTCAGGCTTTCCGCTGCTTGATCTGCGGGTACCGGGGCAACACGCTGCGGGGCATGAGGAACCACATCCGGCTTCACTTCGACCAGAGGAGCGCGGAGATCCCCGACGAGAGTCTCATCTCCTGCATCGTCGCCGGGGAAGGGCCCGGATTCCTGGAAGGGGCCTTGGGCAACCCCAAGACACCCCTGGGATTCATGGCCTCCTCCTCTCCCTCCTCCTCCACCGCATCTTTCCCCGAGTCCGACAAGGCCAACCGAGAAGCTCAGGAGAACAAGACGCGGAACAGCAAGATGTACACCTGCTCCCGCTGCAGTTACAAGTCGAGTTACAAAGGAAACGTGGCCCGACACGCCAAACTGGTCCACGAGAAGCAAGAAACCGAAAGAAGCCCCGGCTCCAGCTCAGAGAACGGAACCTCCTCCCTCCCTGCCTGCGAGGAACCCCCCCGTCAAAGCGAGAAAGAAAAAGACGAAGACAAATCTAGTCGGGAAGTGATCGACCCCACCCCCACCCCCTCCCCCCTCCCCACTCCCCCCCCCAAAGGCACCACCAAGAAGACCTCCGCCAAGTATTGCAAGTCGTGCGACATCTCCTTCGCCTACCTGCCAAACTTCATCACGCACAAGAAGTTCTACTGCACTTCCCATTCGGTGAACCAGAACCCGACGGTCGGGCCCTCCTCGACGAAGACGGCCAGGCTAGAAGAGACCGAGAAGGAGGAACTCTGACCGATTTTTTTTTCCCGGTGTTTTTCCTTCCGATCCCAGTCCTGCATTCCCGCAGGGACTTTTTCTCTCTCTCTCTCTCACTCTTCCCCCCATTTTTTTTCTTTCCTGCGTTGTTTTCATCTTCGGGCATCGAGCAGGAAGTCCATGTGCCAAGATATACAGGTATCTCGACTCACCCCCGACGCGACCAGATCGACACGAATCGACACCTCGACGTCGGGGTGACCCGTGCCATTGCGAGCTCCAGAACGAAAATTCGGGTATCTTTCATCGCATCTTCCAAGCCTTTCTCACCTAGCAAATTTCGGTATTCAGCGTACGAAGCACGCCCCGTCACTCGGGGTTCATCAATGTGATGTCGTCTCTCGACAGACGAAAAGTTACCGGCGTGTCCGACGCCGCGCCTGCGTGAGGAACCGTGCATCGTGGGATGAAAAACACGCTTATATCTTATTGTGATGTCTCATCATTGAAAGTTTATGATGGATGGTGCTGAGGATTTTTTTTCCCAGTTCTTTCTCTTCCGTTTCTTCCTCCTCCTGATTTCGTTTTTTTTTTATTCATCTGCCTGTGGTGATGTCAGAATCAGAACGTTGGTGTCAATAAAAAAAAGGTACTCTAGACACATCTTTCGTGACTCTGAATTTAAAAAATAAATAAATACCGAATGCCCTCAAAGGTGAAGAATCAGATTTTAATAAATCGCACTTCTTCCTCTTCGGTTGCTGCAATCGTATTAAAAGTTCGGATGCACTCGGAGAACTAACTCGAAAAATAACTTGCGTGCTTTGATCTGACTCAAAGCATTTACTAAGTACCTGTTTATGCCAAAAAAAAATACCCTCTGA